GGCCCTGCCCACACAGAAGCAGGAGTCTTACACGAGGCACCTATGCCAACTGCCTGTCTCCAGAGCTGACCACAACTAAGCCACAGCACACAAACTCTAACCAAGCTTCCAACCCTCCTCCTCAAGACGAAACACACACACACCACCGTGCATCCAGGGTATAACGTAATGAGTAGCTATTTGGACAGTCACGAGAGGACATTATAGTCTTGGCTATGCCGCTGACCAGCTGACACAGGATGAGGATGGTTGTTTGTGGACCTCAGTCTTGTGGAGATGTGCTCACGAGGGAGGAAGGGAAGGAACAGGCATTAGAAGCTCTCTGAGGGCCCTCCTTCCTGGGCGCTCATTGGATAGAGTGCGAGGAGCGTCTCTATCCTCAGAACACAGTGAGGTAACACGCTATCGAGGACTGGTTGCAGTCACCCTGTTATAGACAGAATGCCTGCCATGGTCCAGGAATTGTGCCCGATATCCAATGTGCATGCTCTCATTTCATCCTCAGAAAAGCCTGCAAGGCAGATACAATAGTCATTTTTCAAATCAAGTCATTTTTGTCAGTGTGAGCAACTCCTTCAGAAACAACAAGCTAGGAGCCCAGAGAACCAGGCTGAAAACCAAGTTTACCCAATGTCACAACTTGTGTTCCAACCAACTCCACGCTTGGGTAGACCAAAGGGGAAGTGTTCTCCTCCTCGAGCGTTAGCTTGAAGCCATGGTATCTGCTTATGCTTCTGAACGAAGGAGAGACCCCGTGTTTTAAAATGCATCTGGGGGGAATGGAATGTGAAATGTATTCAACTAGTGTGTTAAGCCCAAGATACTTATAAACTAACTGACTCTTCTGGGAAAGAATGACTAGCATTTTCAGAGTCAGAATTCCAACCAATAATTTTCATTTATTACTTTCAGTTGTTGTTTTAAAGAATTCAGAAAATAAAACGTGGGGGAAGAAAGGATGAACTATGAAATGACTGACCTGCTTTAAAGAGAGAGAGAGAGAGAGTTGGAGGCAGCAGAATTACAATCTTGACGTTGGTCCCACACGGGTTATTACTCTTGATATCATTATAGCCAAATGGAATGAAAATAGAAGGGGGAGAAAAATCTCAGTGGGCATTGCAATTTAAATTTGCCATGTAAGCTAATACTGTATATTTAGAGACGGAGCAGACAGGGTGGTTGGTGGCCCAGAGTATGTGCAGGGCTCGCTGTGCCAGCTAACCAAAGCAGACATTCATTAGAGCAAAATGTAGATTTCCATTTCTTGGCATCTGACATGGGCTCCTTCCTTGGAAAGAAATGTCAATTTGGCCAAAAGTGTGAACCCTACAATAAAAGCATTGGGACTGTGGATTTCATCTAGTCTGCACATCCCCACCCCTTCCTTTCCTACTGGGAAGTCCAGTCGGGAATTGGGGTGCTGCGTGGGAAGGTAGCCGGGGAAGAGAGTAGGGCATGGGAGGCTGGAACGGGGCACGGGAGGCTGGGGGAGGACAGAGTGAACTCTCAAATGTCTTATTTTCTTTTGGCGTTCCATGACCATTTTCTCTTGCCCCTAAGACCGCCCAACCCGAGAAACCAACCACAATTACAGTTTTGCACAGGGGCTTGAAAAATGGGAGCTTCCCACACTTGGCACCACCTGCCAGCCCTTCACATGTCCCGAGTGCTTATCCACAGAGCCTGGGGGGTGGGCTATACAAAATGCCACCGTCAGAGGCCAGAGGCCGGGCATGGCAGAGCCCCCCACCCCCTGCTTTAAAATTCCACTCTGTTTGTTTCTTTTGTTCAATAGGCTGGAAAGACTATGACGACAGAGAGCCCAGACACAGGGGGCAGAGTGAAATCTTGGAAGGGCTGCTGCAGCAGGTCCGAGCCCTTCACCAGCGCTACAGTTGCCGGGGTAAGGATGCACATCTGCTCTGTGCCATCGGCTGAGGTCTCTCTCGGTGGCGCCGGTCATTTTGCCGTTTCCTAACTGGGTCATAGCTTCTCACTCATCAGTGGGAGAGAGGTATTCCTATCGGTACATCTGGAATCACTTTGCAGCACTATCTTGCTTTAAGCTTTGAGAAGAGACCGCCCTCTCCTTTCTCCCTTCCTCTGTTTCTCTCTCACCCTTTCTCCGTAGGGACAGTCCGGGGAAAGGGGAAAAAAAAACTGGGAAAAACAGCAGCCACTCAGTTCTCTTCCGCCTCAAGCTGTTTCTTCATGAAACTGCCCAGCAGAGCTTTGCTCCCATTTGTTCCACCTCCACGAGACATTCCCTGATCGTCCCCAAGAAAATGCAACCGGTGGCAGCAACTGCAAAAGTACAACAGCAACGATTAACAATATTGTGAGATGACAACGCAACAGGCACCTCCAGGGTCTCTTGCCGTCCTCATCCCGGCGGCTGAGGGCCTTGCCCAAGAGCTCAGAGGAAAAGGCAGTATCAGGATTGACCCTGGGTTTTCTGACTCCAAGCCTACACTCTTCCGGTCACACTCCAAGTCCAGTCTTCCACTCGGCTCACAAGCCCAGACACTATGTAGACTCTCACCCCAAATGTTAAGCTCCCCTGTATTGCTGTTGAGGGTCAAACAAGACGTGCCACCTCTAGACCCTAACTGACTTCACCCTGAGCCCCACTGAGAAGCTTTTGCAAAGCCATTCTTCTCCCTGGACTGTTCAGAAGCGACGGGGTCAGGTTTCCTAGCTGTGTAATGACTCGTGGAAGAGGCACTTAGCTTTATTTGGAGAATGAAAGCCTCCATCAAGTTTTCATTTTCCATGCTCCATCATCCATCCGATCTCCAGCTGCAGTGCGCGGTCGAGATTCCGGGCAATGCCCAGCCAGCTGGGTAAGAAATCCACAGCTGTAAGTAAGAGACGAGACCCACGTTTCTGAATGGGCACACAAAGAAGCTGGAGTTGGCATCAGCCAAGAGTTGTCCCCAGTACTATATAGCTATGCCAGGAGAGCCTTTCAAACATGTTGGCAATCACTAGAAATGAGGCCAAGCATTTGCAAGAAAATAAAGTTCTAAGAACGAGCGGCTCGCTCAGAGATGTAAGTCCATGTGCGAGAGGCTTGAAAAGGAAGGCCAAGTGCAGTTTTGCTTCCCAGAGATCCAGGAAAACGTTCCGCAGGCCAGGACCTTCCACAGCCCATACTGACCAATGTCGACTCCGTTCGCAGTTCCTCGGGCCACATTTAGAACAACCGGCCGCTGCCTCATTTCCACTGTTCTTTTCTGCCTCTTATTACCCGCGTCTCCATCACCCCCCAGCCCAGTGACTTCTACATGGAAGGCGAAAGTAAGGAACATAATTGGGCCAAGGCAGATGATTCTTTGCAATTCATAAATCACTTGGTGTGAGGTCTTTATCAGAGGGAGAATGTTAAGACTACTCCTGAGAATGAAGTTTGACTTGCAGATTTTCCGAGCATTTAGATTCTATCAGCTAATCAAGAAATGATTGGGGTGATGGTCCAATTTTTTCTGTACTTGCAAATTTTCCACTCAACTTTTCTCATGCACAAGCAGTACCTCATTTATGGACAGGCTTGCATTCCAATAAGTCTATCATGTGTCAGTTCTGACTTAGATTAAATGCTTTTTTTTTTAGTTTTCATTATTATTGCCTGTTATTATCATTGTCCTTGTAATTCCAATCTTTATTTCTCTTTGGAGGATGGAAAGCGTTATGTATCAATGTGCAGGTACAATTTAATGCATGTAAATATAGAAATCATAAGACTGTACTCAATGAAGGGGAATGAGTGGACAATGTGGGCATTTTTGGTCAATGTGGTAGTAACTCTAATTCAATTGTGGTCATAACTGGACTTGTGGAAGGTTCCGGGTCACCTGGATTATCCCTGGGAATGGGGAGAGCATTTCCAATCAGAAAACTTAGTGAGAATCGTCTGCATAGCTCTTTCCTTCTGTCCGTCATGCATTTTACAGGGACATCTCATTGCTTCTCCAACCTACAGATTGACTATAGCAAAGCCATCCAGGTTGACGTCCAGGATTGTCAGCACCCTGAGCCTTTGATTTCATTTAGAAAACAAAACAAAACGAAAACGCCAGCTAATCCTTTCACTGTAAAATGGTTTGACAACCTCTCTCCTTCTCTCGTTCTTCCTTTCTTCTTCGGCATTCCTTTTCCTCCTCAACACCCACTGATTCCAGACCAGTTGATTCTCCCTCTTTGTCATCTATGCACTGTCCCTCATTGGCGATATCCAGCTCTAAATTCAGCGTTCTTGCCACACGGATGATCTTTCCCACTGACTTCTTCCCATATTGTATTATCCTGATGAGATGCTTAGAACTCTAACTTCTTGGGAGACCAGGCCATGGCCTGCGGTAGAGTAGTCTTTTGAACAGTAAATCATAAAACTGAGCATATGCCAGTGGACATCTGGTAGTGATAACATCAGTTCATTAGGAATGACCATCCAGTCAATTCCAGCTCCTACTGACCTTGTAGGACAGCGTAGAGCTTCCCCAGGGGGTTTCCAATGCTGAAATCTTTGTGGAGAAAATGACTACGTCTTTTCTCCCCTGAGTGACTGGTGGGTTTAAACCTCCAACCTTTCCATGAGCACCAAAGCGCATAACCTCTGTGAAGGCTCAACGAGTTAACAATAACATAGGTGCACACACAGAGGCCATAAGCTTTTTGTCATAACTCAAATATGTCATAAGTTGTGGAATACCAGTACATACTTTTATCCCACAGGGATTTAAATGTGCACACTCATAGGAAAGAATTCGGGGAGATGTAAGATAGAAAGTTGCAAAAAGAAGGAAATTTGCTATGATCTTGACACGTACTCTAGAAACTTACATGGTATCCAAAATGGTTCTAAAGAATGGTAGTTCTGTAGGACACTGTATTGAAAATAACAGTTATCTAGAGCCCTGCGGGTGTAGTGGTTATGTGTTGAGCGGCAATCTGTATGGTAGCAGTTCGAAACCACCAGCAGCTCTGTGGGGCAAAAGACAGGGTTTCTACTCCCATAAACAGTGACGGTCTGATGAGGCGCTATGAGTCCATATTGACTCGATGGCAGTGAGTGAGGTTCCCTGGTGCGTTCCATCTACCGCTCTGAGAAAAATCAATGTACACCAGGCATTAGGATATTGACTATGCTAAGGAATCATGTAATAAAGGAACATTTGATTAACCAAACATTTCCCAAACCTAATTGGTATGAACCAAAATTTTTTTTTTAATTCACAGAATCAGTGTCCCAAAGCACAGACTTTGAGAAATGCTGACCAATGATCGGCCATGATTTAAAAAAAAAAATACTACACATAAAAGGAGTGAGTCTATGATGATTTGATGTAATACTTCCTCTCCACTTAAGAGGGTAAATTAAGGACAATGTAAGCAATATATACCCAAAACTACAAATTGCTAAACTCAGCTACCTCAAGATACTTTGAGGATTATTGGGGAGCTAAGTCTTACAATTAGGACAAAAATAAAGACTATTTCAACTCCTAATTGTTCTATACATTAGCTGTGTGTCCTTAGGAGAACCATTTAGCTATTCCGAACCTTAGCTTCTTTGCTGGTAACACTAAGACAAGGATGCCTATCTGTCAAGATTTTTAGGAGAATTAAATGAGATCATTGATGAAGCGCAAATGACACATTTGCAGGCACTTAACAGGCCTTTGAATCCTCCCCTGAATCACCAGGGAAGAATAGGGTCATTCTCCGTCCCTAACACTTCATTGCATTGCCTCACAATTAAAATATGGCCAGTAAGTTGACTGCTTAACTTTAGGGTGCTCTTCAAACACAAGGCATATTACACACACAGAAGTAATCATTAAGAACACTTTCGCCTACCAACGCCCCACATGGAAGATACCAGAATCCACGTTAATTTTTTTTTTCATTTTAGCTGAAAAACTGAACCAAGCTAATCCACTCAGTATTAGGATGGAAATTCAAGGGAGAGGTTGGGCAGCCTTAAACAGTCAATGTCTTGACATTCTTAATTAATTATTAAAAAGTCAACTGTGGTAATCAAAGCTTCTACAGTTGTGTGAACCATAGACATCATCAGACAGAACAGAGCCAGCGCCAACTGAGGACAAAACCATTAACTGCTGACATACAAGTTCAACTGGAAGCTGAACAATCAATACAAGTCCACAAGAGCCAGGCGACAGCCCTGAATGTCTCCCTTCTGAATAGAGACCGTGACAAAAGTAAATTTGATGCACTGGATATTAATAACCAAAGACCGTATGAATTGTGGGATGCTACGAGGAGGACATCATAGATGAAAAAATAAAAGGCCACTACAAATACCAGGAGAAAGAAAAGACCGGAACGGGTGTCATAAAAGACTCAAAAACTCGTTCTTAGATGGGAGAAATGATGAAATAAACGAGCTTCTCAGAATTCTTCCGTTGGCAGCTCAAGAAGACGAAGTAAATTGTTATCATGAAATGTGCAAAGACCGGTAGTTAGGAAACCAAACGCGAAGAGCAGGTTTCACACCTTCTCGAGCTGACAAAGGTGAAGGAAAAGACTGGAGTCTCGAGTGGCAATACTCAAGTACCCTGTGAGCAAAATATTGAGCTAACCAGTAAGTATCAAAGGAAGATACAAGGAACTTAGAGTCACTGTATCAAAAAGAATGGTGGATGTTCAGTCATTTCAGGGGAGAGCATATGGTCAAGAACCAATGACATTAAAGGAAAAAATCCAAGATACATTGAAAATATTGGTGTAAAATAAGATGCCAAGATTGAATGGAATAACAACTGAGATGCTTCAATGAACAGATGTAATCCTAGAAGAGCTAGCTCATCTAGGCGAGCTGAAGGGAGAAAAGAAATCCATATTTGTGTCTAATCAAAACATAAGCAATCCAACAGAATG